GCCTAACCAACTGAGCCACCCAGGCGCCCCCTAAAAATGAGTTTAAATATCAAAAGTACACTGGTGCAATATTAGAATTTGGTTTTTCTCTCCATTAAAAGGGCAAAGTTCTTTTAGGTTACTGGTCTGCTCTTAATAAATTATAACCAAAGTTTTCTTCATCTTTAATGTAATCTGCCTAGAAAACAAAAATTCTGTTTTGTGGGGCACCTGGGTGGCTGAGTTGGGTAAGCATCTGCCTTCAGCTCAGGTCATGATCCCAGGGTCCTGGGATTGAGCCCCTCGTCGGGCTCCCTGCTCAGTGGGGAGCCTGCTTCTCCCTCTCCCTTTGCCTGCCTCTCTGCCTACTTGTGCTCTGTCAGAAAAATAAATAAAATCTTAAAAAAAAAAAAAACTTAAAAAAAAATTCTGTTTTGTTTTTATCAGGTCTCTAGTTAGAAAAAAAAAAAACCAGTCTTTTCAATATTAAAATAGCTACAGCTTTGTGCAACTATTTGACTTTCTGTATTTGCCTATGAAGTCTTTGTTACTTGGTGAAATGGAAAACTAAGCATTATTTCACAGTCATCTATGATCCTATTTAATGAAGTACCCAAATCTTTTGATACCTTAACAAACTTCCCCAAAATCAAATTTTTTAAATGAAGTCTTTTTGACCTTGAACTAGCTTTGGGTTTTCCAGACAGTCCCTTGGAATATCTCAAAGGATTTGTTCTCTTTATAAAAGGGAAAATGTTTAACTAAATAGGCTTATCTGGTATGTTAAATTGCATGGGAAGCATTGTCAAACAAATGCTAAACCTTCTTTGATTATATTTGCAGGGATATATGTTATTAATAAAAGCGTTCCAGAAACTGTATGAAATTCCTGAAGATTGAATAGGTATTGATATAATGTTAACACTTGTAATTCCAGTTATTTTATGAAAATGTACTCACAAAAATAACCAAATTTTCTTGTCAATTCCATTGTAATGAACTTTTATCAGATCTTTAACAACAGGCATTTTTAAGTCTTTTGCCATTTACAGAGTTAATGTTTTACTCAGATGCTTTTACAAAAGCTTCCTACAAATGTTTCATCTTCAGAGAAATTCATGGAAAAGAATCTGACAAGTACTCTAGAATATGGGTTTCTGATCACTTTCAGATCATTCAACTGAACTGGGTAAAAATTTCCAGAACGATGGGGCGCCTCGGTGGCTCAGTTAAGCATCGGACTCTTGGTTTCAGCCCACTTCAGGTCATGACCTCATGGCCATGGGACTGAGCCCCTCCTTGGGCTCCTCACACAGGGGGAATCCGCTTGAGAATCCCTCCCTCTGCCCCTCCCCCAACTCACACGCACATACATGCACTCTTTGTCTCTCTCTCTCTAAAATAAGTAAATCTTTTAAACAAAAGGGTGGCGCCTGGGTGGCTAAGTCGGTTGAGCATCTGACTCTTGGTTTCAGCTCAAGTCATGATCTCAGGGTCATGAGACTGAGCCCCACATCAGGCTCCGTGCTCAGCGGGGAGTTGGCTTGGAACTCTCTCCCTCTCCCTCTGCCCCTCCCCCTACTCACTCACACACTCACTCTCTAAAATAAATAAATCTTAAAAAAAAAAAAGAATTTCCAGAACAAGTGGGAAAACAGTATTCAAGTAGGACAAGATTTAATAACATGGAACTAAATGAGCCAAGGAGGATGATTATTAATCTTTAGGACTTCTAGTTTAAAATGCTGCTGGTTCGGGCGCCTGGGTGGCTCAGTTGGTTAAGCGACTGCCTTCGGCTCAGGTCATGATCCCGGAGTCCTGGGATGGAGTCCCACACTGGGCTCCCGGCTCAGCAGGGAGCCTTCTTCTCCCTCTGACCCTCTCCCCTCTCATGCTGTTTCTCTCTCAAATAAATAAATAAAATCTTTAAAAACAAAAAACAAATATATTTGAAAAAAATAATAAAATGCTGCTGGTTCTCTAACATTTTGCTTTTCCAGATTTTTTTTTTTAAAGATTTTATTTATTTATTTGACAGAGAGAGACACAGTGAGAGAGGGAACACAAGCAGGGG